CTCCCCAGGGCAGTGGTCACAGCCCCAAGACTGACAGAGCTCCAGGAGGGTTTGGCCAGTGCTCTCAGGCTCAGGGTGCATTGTTGGGGTGTCCTGGGCAGGAGTTGCACTGATGATCCCAATGGATCCTTCCAGCTCAGGATATTCCATGATACTCTACGATTGTTGGTTCTGTGACAGTATGTGTCAACCCAGAGCCTTTCCCAGGGGGGTTGGGGCTTTGGGCTGAGCTGTGTCAGTGTCTGTCGGTGTGTGCCTCACTCATCAGGCCCACGGTGAGCTCCCAGTGCAGGGGTGTCTGGTGGGTGTCTGTGGTGTGTCAGTGTCACAGCTCTCTCGGGTGTCCTCTCACCTCCCTCTGTGTGTCCCACAGCCGTTTCCATCAGCAACCACACTGCCCTCGCCCAGTACTGCAGAGACCAAGACATCAGGCTGGTTGTGGTTGGGCCAGAGGTTCCTCTTGCTGCTGGTAAGAAAACAAGCTAAAATTCGTATTCTTCATCATTTAGTCAAAAATAAACTGTAATCCTCACCTGTGCATCACTCAGCAGTGTCTGCGTGTCTCCAGTAGGGATGGGACAGATCCTCTGGGCACTTTCCCTGGAACTTAGAGTTGTGCTGAGGTGAAAATGCATTTCTAAAGGATATTGTGTGAGCAATAGAACACATTTGGGTTTCCCTTTGGAGTTTTCATGTTCTGAAGTAATAATAGTTTGAGAGGTGATTAAAAAAGTGACAAACATGCTGATAACTTCTCTGTTCAAACCTCTCACCTGATCAGCCTTTGGCACCTTCACAGAAGGTTAATGGTGGTGAATGTTCTTAGCTAAAAGATGCCATAAACCGGGGGGAATTCTCACCTCTCACCCAGTGCAGCACATCCTGTTGCCCTCAAGGGTCACAGGGTCACCTGCCCCTGATCCCAGTGAGCAGTTCCTCTGGGAAAACAGGCACTGGAGAGGTGGATATGACCATTCCTGACAGACTTGCTCCAAGGAGTCAGTGCAGCTGCAGACCTGGGCTGCTCCAGTCCCATAAATCATCTGCTGATCTATGTCTGTGTTTGCTGTGGTGTGCAGGAATTGTGGATGACCTGACAGCAGCTGGGATCAAATGTTTTGGCCCCACAGCCAAGGCAGCACAGCTGGAGTCCAGCAAGAGCTTCTCCAAAGCCTTCATGGACCGGCACGACATCCCGACCGCACGATGGAAATCCTTCACTGACCCGAAAACAGCATGTGACTTTATTAACACGTAAATTCTTCTCATTTCAGACCCATTTTCATTTACAATCCAGCAGTCAGATCAGTGCCAGGGTATTGTCGTGGCTGGGATAGAACCTCTGCAGAGGTTTAAAGGATCCCCTGCCGTGGCACTATCAAACAGCAATAAATCTGATAAGAAGTGGTTCTTACTCACCACTCTGAAACCAAAGTAAAGTTTGACAAGAATGTAGGACAGGCTGGATCTCCTCTCCCTCTGCCTGCTGTGGGAGGCCAGTGTGCAGCCTGGAGCTGTCTGTTCTGCCTTCCTGGCCTCCTCCTCCACCAGCATCCTGGGACACCAACTCAGCATCTGGTGGTCTCCTTGGAGCACAATCCTGGTGATCCCAAGTGATGCAAGAGCAGATCATTAAATGGAAAGGAATGAAGTCCTGTGGTGGGGAACAAAAAGGCAGAAGCAGAAACCCTTGGCAGGCAGAGCAGAGCAGGAGAAGCTGGTTTGGATTTGTGTGTTATTCATGGAATCAGAGGATGTTAAGGGGTTCGGATAGAGTTTAGAGATGATCCAGCCCCAACCCCTGCCCTGGGCAGGGACACCTCCCACCAGAGCAGGTTGCTCAAGGCTTCAGCCAACCTGGCTGTGAACACTGCCAGGGTTGGGGCAGCCATAGCCTCCCTGGGCAATCTGTGCAGGGAAAAACTTCTAATATCTAACCTAAATTTCCCTCTTTCAGTTTCTCCCCATTGCTCCTTGTCCTGTCCCTGCAGCTCCTAACACAGATCCCTCTGCAGCTTCCCTGGAGCCCCTTCAGCTCCTGCAGGTTGCTATGAAAACTGCTAAGTGTTTTGCACTTTCACCTCTTGAGATGTTCCAGATGCCTCCAAAATGCCTTTGCAAAGGTTGTTCCCCGGTGAATGTCTCTCCTCTGCCTTTGCAGTGCCAACTTCCCTGCTCTGGTGGTCAAAGCCAGTGGCCTGGCAGCTGGCAAAGGAGTTATTGTGGCTTCCAGCAAGGAAGAGGCATGCAGAGCTGTTAATGAGATCATGCAGGTGAGCACGAGGGTCACACACTCACCTGGAGAGGTTCTCACACCATCTCACAGCCTCAGAGATGTTCTTTATGTAACAGGAATTTGGCTGTAAGACGTGAAATCTTCCCCTGTTATTTGGACAGCCATGGAGCTCTGTCACACTTAGGCTTGAGGCAGAGTTCTTGGAAGCTAAAATCAAATCATTCCTCATGAAAACCTACATTTATTTCATTACTGATGTGTGCATTTCCCTTTTTGAACCATTTGAGGCTGCTGCACTCGGGTCCCACAGTGCTGGAACGTGAGATCTGTGGCTGGGGGATTGAGCACCACCAGGCTCTAGTCACACAGCACTGTGTGGTGAAATCTTAGTGGAATTTCTTCAGTGTATACTGAGGAAGGATAGTCCACAAATACATTAGGAGCATCAGAACTGGAAGTGAGGCACAATGGAGTGATTTTGTGTGGCCAGTGAGGAACCCAAGCAGAGCCCAAAGAACTGCTCAGTAATCCTAAACACCTCCTGCCATCTCAGAGTAGGGAGAGACCCTGAGTTTCTCTCAGAGCAAACAGAAAACAGGAGGAAGATTTTACCACTACTAACACCCAGCAGGGCTGAATGGATTCACAGTCCCAACCTGTGCTGCAATTTTCTGCTGTACAAAAAATACATACTTTTTGTTTAAAATGGCTGACACACAACTCAAGAGGTGTTGCTGTTCCTGTAGGACAAGACTTTTGGCACAGCCGGAGAAACAGTGGTTGTTGAAGAGCTTCTTGAGGGAGAAGAAGTGTCTGTAAGTTGCACCTCACTAACACTTTGACCCCACCTGTTGTACATTCCCTCCACCTATGAGGTGTGGGGTTTGGTTACTGCAGGTAAAGCCAGTTGCCTGTTTGTGAATGAAATGGTATTAACTGAAGGCATGTTAATTAATGGTGTTAAGAAGGGAGCTCCTGTGGCCTGGCAAAATGGATGATGGGAACATTCCTCTCAAAGTGGTGGTGTTTGCAGAGTGAATTACCCCAACTGTTGCCAGTGTCTGCATGGTTTGGTTTCCTGCCTCAAGGAGAAGTCAGATGTGCAGATACTGGTTGTCTTTAATCTTTCCTGTTTGCCTGGGCCTTTTTAAGGAGTTATCCAGGTCTTCTCTAGTGAGAAATGTGTCATGCTCCTAAATAATCTTTGGAATACTAATCAGACTGAGTATAATACAACACAGTAATACAAACCTGCAGTTTAAGGTTGTTTTTTCCTGTGCTGAGTGACAGCTATGAAGCAAACTCACTGCTCACCTTGCCTGGCCAAAGGATTCACCTGCCACAAATGGCTTTAGTTTTCAGTAGATTA